ACCCTCTATGAGATGGATTGATTCGGTGACTGGGGTAATCAGGATGGGTGTGTCAAAGGCGGTGCAGTTGGCGCAGGATAGAGCAGGGTTTAGGGCTGTTGTGCATAAGGTCGCTATGAGTCGGAAACGACTCGATGGCACATAACAACAACAAGAAGAAATAGTACTGGGGATTTTTGTCTCAAGTAGTACTGGGGAAGGTTTCTTGCCCCTGAGCTCCTACTTCAGGACTGTTGTATTTTGGCATAATGTCTCTGCTCTTCCTTATGCACGACATGGCTGTCAGAATATGAGAATTTCCAAGACGAGGATTATGTCTCCTTTAGATCTGACCACTAGAGTGAGCTCAATAAAACTAATATCACCTGCAAATGAAATATTGCTGAAGATGATTATAAAACAGCTAGAACAGTTCATAGAGAACTTCCAGGAGTTCAAGCAGGATTTAGAAGAGACCATGGTGCCAGGGATACCATTGCTGCTGTCAGATGGATCCTGGCTGAAAGCAAAGAATATCAGAAGAATGTTTTTTATTGACTATGTAAAAGCATTTTACTATGTGGATCAAAACAAATTATGGCTAACATTGAGAAGAATGGAAATCCCAGAACGATTGTGCTTGTACAAAACCTATACCAAGACCAAAAGGAATTAGGACAGGTGTGCATCATGATTGTATGCCTTCTGCATACCTATTTAATCTGTATGCTGAGAAAATTGAGAAACTGTACTCTATAAATATAGTAACAGGATTGGAAGAAGACTCATCAGTAACCTTTATTCTGTGTATGACACAGAATGTGTTGCTGAAGATGAAGAGGACTTGAAGCACTTGCTGCAGAAGGTCAACAATTCAGCCTTCAATATGAATTGTATCTCAACATCAAGAAGACAAAAATCCTCATGACTGTACTGATAGGTGGCCTGATAGGTAAAGGAAAAACTGAAACTGTCAATGACTACATCGTATTTGATGTACAATTGATTGCTCCACTTACTATCAGCAGTCAGGAGATCTAGAGACATAATACACTGAATAAGTCTAGGTAGGCACCTCTCCAGATTATTGAGGAGCAGTGATGTAAGCCTGAGGACTTAGGTGTGTCTCATTGAGGCCATGGGATTTTCAGTCAGTTACAGTGAAGATGAGAGCTGGACAGTGACCAAAGATGACAGAAGAAGAATTGATACCTTTGAGAAGAGAGGTGAATATCTCATGGTCTACCAAAATGAACACAGAGATATGTCTTGGAGAAGGTGTAGTCAGAGTGTTTCTTGGAGGAAAAGATGTTAAAATTTTATCTCATACACTTTGGGCATTTTGCTAGGAGAAGCTATTCCTTAGAGAGGAATGCTTGGGAAGGTAGAGGGGCAGTGAAGGAGAGGAAGGCCCTCAACCAGGGGATTTACACAGTGACTTCAGCTGTGGCCTTGAGTGTGTCCCAGATTGTGAGGATGGCACAGGATAGGTCAGAGTTCAAATCTGTTGTTCATGGAACCATTATGCTTCACTCAGTCGCACTTAACAATAGAGTGACTCAGTGGCTAACCGAAAAATCAACTGCACTTAACAATAGAGTGACTCAGTGGCTAACCGAAAAATCAACTGATAAACACACCAGCAGCTCTTTAAGAGAAAAAGCTGATAATCAAGTCCTGTAAAGATTTCAGCTTAGTTGCAAAAGTAAAAAAAACACAAGTAAATCACAATGTTATGATTTAATATGCTTTTTTGGGGACCTGGAGCTTCTGTGTCCATTATTTTAACCCATGTACAGTGATGCAAAGCACAGAAACCTTTGTGGAGGTCTCAGCGAGTCTTTGCTCAGGGCCATTGCTTTCTTTTTGTGCCAAGAGTGTTTATGAGAATAGTTTCTTAAAAAACAAACAGTATTTTTTAAATTAATATTTTTATGCTTTATTTTTTTTTTTTGGATCTATAAGCCACCTAACAGCTATGTTCCATATACTTCATGCTATAATTCTGGGGATTTTTTAGTTTTGGATTTTTGGGGTTTTTTTTAAATAATTTTTTTAAAAAAAAAATAAAAGTTAATCCTGTATGTGGGGGTGGGGGGAAGTATTTCTGCTTTGGAAAGCCTGTTGGGACAGTTTTGCACTGTCAAGAGGAGTCACCATGAGTCTGAATCGTCTGTGCTGTACAGAGCAGCGGAGTGGACAGGCCAAGTGGCTTCCACCTCCAGACAGTGTCTTCCTAATGGTTTGATCAGAAAGTGATTTTTTTTCCTTTGAAGAAAGACTGAGGGCCTGGGTTTAGCTGAGGCGGAAGGTCATCCTGGTCTTAAAATTGTACCCACGCTGAGTTAGCACAGGTGTTGAGCATCTTTTCATCCCTAGTATGCTTGGTCAAAAAAGCTTACCTGGTAGTTTTTGGACATCATCTTCTTACTCTGTGTGATCAAGAAAGGAAAATCTCTGCCTTTGTGCTTCCTGAACCGTAAGCACCCATCTGTCCCTTCATTTCACATCCTTCCTTTACATGTATGTCATCTCCAGCACTGGGCAGGAGGACCATCCTGTCCATCCTCATTGCACTTTTGGTGAAGCCACACTCGTAGAGATTCGTTTTGGTGAATCCAGGACTAGATCTAAGGAATATTGGAATAGTTTAGAAAGTTCCTGCCAATAAGGGATTTGCAGACATAAAAAGTGCCTTTGCTACAAGTGTACACAAGGTCTTCTCAGAGATGTCTTTTTTGCCCTTAATAAATTATGCCAAGTCAGCCTTATGTCTGAAACTTTTAAAATCTTAGTGTATATGAACAGCCTCTGCCCACTATTCTGTCATCTTTCTTTTAGGTTCGATGAGGTGCTTTATAGATCTTCTCAGGATCTTCAACCCAGACACATTGTCACTTACCTTCTAACTCTAAGGTACTTTGTGTTGCTGCCAAAACATTTTAACTGTCTGTGTGGAGACATTACAAAGACATGACTCAACACAGTCCACTTATAACATTTCCTATTCCTACAAGAGGAAAAAATGGCTTTGGATCTTGCCGTTTTCAAGTATTGACATCCTGAGGCCCCCTAATCTGGAAGAGAACCTTTATTTCATCTAAAATTTCCTACACACAAATTCTCTGTGGTAAGAAGTAACAGAAGTAAGAAGTTATAGAACTTCTGACTTCATCTTTGCAATTAGCAATTAATGTTCATTCTTTCATACATTTTGCAATAAAAGTTTGTGGTCACTGGAGCCCAGTAAATGGGAACTGACAACTGCACAGGTGGTTACAGTAAAGTGAACATAAAAGATGGTAAAAAGGCACATGAAAAATAAACAAACTAAATTTTAAAAAAAAAAAAAGCACAACGGGACTATGAGGGATCAGACAAGCCTTCTTAGGTGGAAGCAGGGTTTAGTCAGGATCATCTGGAACAAATACCAAAAATCCCAGCCTTGGGCACAAGCAGTCTGCAGGAAGAACTGCAAGCCCTGGATCTTCTCCCTAGAAACTATATGAAGCATGACCAGTTATTTTCACCATGTATTAATGTATTAAGACTTTATTTTTCATGGTAGTAAGAGTCAGTAGTTCCACAATCAGCCTCAATGATTGTTTAGACAGCTGATAATGAGTTCTGTATTGTCTCTTTCTATAGATAAAACCAATTTGATACTTGTATATTCCTTTAGGTAAGATCCATGTATATAATTGTCATTTATGTTATTCTGGTTTTCTGTAAAAAGGTATGAGCAATGAATAAATTACTGATTTTAAAAAAAACAAAAGATTTACTGAAGTTGGAGACTCTCCAATTCCACTTAGACATAAAGTGGCCAGAGAGTCCTAAGTGTTCTTTAGTCAGTAATAAAATTCTCATTTCTTTGGTCCAACCTCCTTGACACTAGACCTAATCAGAAAGAGTGGACAGAGTACATGCAAAGTAGATTGTTAACAGGTGTTCTGCCTCCTTGCTGTACGAATCAAAGTCTAACAGGTCCTGCCATCATGTACCTTTCATTAGAAGGGATATGGAATAAGGAAACACTAATTATTAGAAAACAGTTCTCTACACTATTAAGGTGAGCTGTGAAATCGGCATTGTTAGCACTTGCCTCCTGGTAATAGCAGAGCTGGATCAAATGCTAAAGCTTGAGTTGAGTAGGCTTCATTTTGCTTATTATAGAAAAGCACTGAATTCTAGTCTCAAATTTGGGTTCATGTTTTAATGGCTCTAATTTTTTATTTATTTCTAAATTACTGGGATAAGATTGACCATCAAGCTCTTATGTACAGTAGGGAATTACTCGTCCTAATCATAGTTTGCCTTTTCTGTTTCAGTCATCTTGCAGCTGTGGCACACAAAACACTGCAAATAAAAGGCAGTCCTCCAGAAGTGGCCGGGGTATGTTGAGTGTTGCCTGTAGAATTCTAAGCAGCCTCAGTCCAAAACAACAAGTTTTGTACATTTTTTTCTGAAGAAACATGTGTTGTTCAGCTATGTTGTTGTAATTAATAACTCATTGGGCATTAGTGGGTTGTTTGACTTGATATCCTAGACTATGAAGCAATTCTCTAACTTCAAGGCTTACAGTGCTGAACTCCCCTTTCTGGAGCCACTGTGTGATGATGTCTCCTCCACTCCAAGTTCCTAAATGTCACTGTCCAGGATGCTGGAAGAGCTCTTCCCTTGCCTACACTAAATCCAGGGCACTCTAACTCTTCCTTTTAAAGAAAATGTTAGAAGGATAAGTTACTTTTTAAAAGTTTATTCAACAGCCTGTTAGGAGGTATTTAATAACTTTCTTATTTGTTTTATAGGTCAGACTTCATCTTTTCAAAGCTGTCCGTTCTGTCCTAAACAGTGGAATGAAACTTCTTGGGATAACACCTGTATCTCGGATGTAATTTCTAATGATAACAACTGAAAATGCTAAATGAATTCTGGTCATCTATTTAGATGCCTTGCAGTTCAATTTAAACTATTTTTCTGTGTCCGAATCTATATTAAATCTGAGTAATTTATGAACTTTTTGAGTTTAAGCTTTAAGAAAATTCTGAGTTTTCACATGTTGTTATTATGTGCTATCAAGTCACCTGTAACTCATAGCAACTCTATGCACAACAGCCCTAAACTCTTCTCTATCCTGTGCCATTTTTTTTTCTGTGCTACTCTTGAAAACATGGAATGCTTCACAAATTTGTGTGTCCATACTAGATGCCATCAAGCCATCCCAACTCTTGAGAACCCAGTGTGTTCAGATACTGACATGAAGGTTTCCGAGACTGGTGGCTAGGATCTCCTTTGGAAGTTCCTCTGGGGTTTCACACTGGCAGACTGTTGGTTAGTAATCAACCACTTGACCATTTGTGCCACTCAGGGACTCCACACACCTAGTAGGCACTAAATAAATGTCAAGTAAATTTGAGTCAAGTCTTTTTCAATTTAAATTATTGTAGTCTAATGGATCTGCATTATGCAGATGACACAACCCTGCTTGCTGAAACTGAGGAGGACCTGAAGCACCTGCTGCAGAGGGTCAAGGAGTGCAGACTCTCATATGGATTGAGGCTCAATGTCAAAAAGACAAAGATTCTCACCACTGGACCAACTGGCAGCATCAGGATGGATAGTGAAGAGATTGAGATTGTTCACAGCTTTAGTTTGCTTGGCTCCACAGTCAACACTCTTGGCACCAGTAGCCAGGAAATTAAAAGGTGCATTGTC